TTTTTCAGAGCATCAAGAATATCACTTAATTTTTTAATATAAAATATATTAGATCAGAATGGTGACAGTAGGACCATCTCTTAAAAAATAAAATATAAAACATAACTATTAGTAACAGAGGAATTTCACATTTTTCCCTGTATGTCACTGCCAGTTCTTAAAACAATAATACTGTTTCTTTTCTTATTGATATAAGAACTAAGATGTATTTTGGCAAAGCACATCTCTGCCTCCTTTGTAAAAGCAGTTTTGGTAAACATACATTTACTGTGATGTTTGATCAGTATTTTGTGAGGCATTTTTTATGTCCCATAGGGCTATGCTCTTGAGGGAAACTAATGCACAAAGTGTGAACTTTCTCTTTTCATTTGAGACTGGGTCTGTAGGAAGATGTAAAACATGTTCCTTACTTGGGTTAAATTACAAAGCTAAGAAACCATTAGATCTACAGTTTCTTGCACCTGCAAAAGTGAACATTGTGTGAACAAGCTGAAAACCATATATATTAACTCCAGAAAATGTGAACAAAGCAAAAGGTATAATTTGAAAGTCACTGTTAATGAGATACATTGCTATAATTCACTTAATATGAATAGAACATTTAAGAAATACAAAAAATTAAGGTGGTGAATATTTTAAAACACTTCATAGATATACCAGCAACAATAAGGGTACATACATGGTTTTATATTTGGAAAGCGATTTTTTGCTCTATTCCAAGGGAGATCTGCATCAGTTGAAGACAGATCCTGAAGAAATTTTGGTAATTCCTGTGAAATAAAGTCATTGCAAAAATTACATTTCTCAGAAGTGTATGAGAAATGCCACAGTAAAATATGATTCTTTAAACCTTTTTAAATTTTTTTAATTGAAAACACCTATGTTAAGTGTGGAAACAAGGTCAAATGAATAGTAGTAAGTTTACCTAAGCTTTATAAGTTAATGTTCATTAACTTAATGATGTTGATCAGTTAATATTGCCCTCTATTGAGATAATTTCTTTGCACTTTGGGAGGCCCTAAGATGTGGTAACCAGGCTAGTGACTCCTTCCTATGTCACTCATGGTTTTATCAGCTACACACTGGCTTTTCCTTAATATTTTAATGTCAACTTAGTAAGACAAAGGGAGTTCATGATTTATTTTTTGTTTTTCCTCCTTGGGCAGTGTGATTTCATGCCTATTAATTGGTACAACATTGGTCAGTTTGAGAAGATGCCAGAGGTCAATTCCTGTGCTCAGTAGGCACTGTTAAATTGATAGTGGAATGCAAAGGTACTATTAAGAATTATCAGACACAGACAAAGGGTCAAGAAAATCTATAATTGACATTGGGGTTAAAAAAATCACAATATTATCTACCTTGTTCTTTGTAATACAAGCATCTTGCAGAAAGCTGCTGCAAACCATATGCATTATTTTCCTGAGCAGATGATTTACATTTATGAAATTTGTGATTTTCCATTTTAGAACCCTCAGCTTGCCAAATTCCTCAATAAATGTTAAAATGTGAGTTTTTACATTTTTTTCAACATTATTATAAAGTATTTGTTTTAAATCAATGATTCTCCTCTCTCGTTTTTCCTTAAAAAGTTGAACTGGACAGTTGTTTGCATGTGGTCCTGTGTCAGAAAAGAGAGTGAAAGCAGCTGGATTCTGATGTGCTGGCATCACAGGTTTCAATTTTTTTTTTCTTTCAGGCATTGAACCCAGGGCCTCAAGCATTCTAGGAAAGCACTGTACACTAGCTGTACCCCTAGCCTGCTAAATTTTTAATGAAATGAGGAGAACTAGAAGAACTTCCTTGTTTAAAGGCTTTCGGAGCATATTAAGAGGAGGAAAGAAATTGACTGAAAAGTGGTATTTACATTTTGCAATTACTTCACATTAGAAGTTTCCACTTATAAAGTGACTCTGACCTTAATCACCAATACTCAATTACCAGGCTGATTGGTAGTGGTCCTGTTCCTATCAGGGCACACCAGGCATCAGT